ATCAGCAGCCTCAGCATCACATTTGTAGGTGATGTGGAATACAGTTAAGAGCTAGGGCAATTCCAACCTCTACTCTGGAACTGACCTGGCCTTTTCAATACACTTCTTGCTCTGATCCCATTGTCTCCAGCTTATTAACATGAATTTATCTCTGCTCTCCCAAAACACTAAGCCCTAAAACTCATCTGATCAATGTTACAACCACCATGGGGAAATGAATGACTCTGGTTAAGTGCTCAAAGTCCTCTACCACTTGCAGTCTTCCTGAAATCATTTTTAATGTAATCTTGTGATCCCAGGCATAGAGTTTATCACAGAAAAGTTTATGCTACGGAGGGTTAGCTTGATCCAAAATACAGCAACTGCTCTCACAACATAGGATTGTTCTAAAGACTCAAGCAGACTGCAATTGCACTCCCCAGTTTCCTTTTGATGCAGCTAGCTTTGAAGTGGTTGAACACTCACATGCCTGATGGACTACTGAGACTCCAAGTGCTAGACCTGGGAGGACCAGGCAGGCTGCCCATGCACCTGAATCCCAATCTCCTGGGAGAAATCCCTAACCACTAGCTCTTCCTCCACCTCTAGGAAGTCAGCCTGGACATTCCTGTTAAACCAAAGTCACATCCTGCAGCTCACAGCCCTCCTACAGCACCACATCCCACTCAGAGTACTCTCTCCAATGGATTCCTACCAGGCTGAACAGGATCTAGAACTGCTTTGACCATTTGGGAACATTTTTTAGTGTGAAAGGGGAGCATACTAATAATTATTCTGGAATTTCAGGTATAAACCTGAATTGTCCTAAGTAAGTATGGATATACCATGTACCTATCGCCTACTCTCTTCCCTTCACTTGCTCTAGTCCAGCTCCTTTAACTGTTCCTTCAGTATCCCAGGCTTGCTATTGCCTCAGGATCTTTGCACTTGCTGTTCCCTCTCTCTGGACACTCTTCCTCCAAATATCTTCATGACTTAATCGTTCATCTCCTTCACTTCTTTGCTAAATATTATTATCAGCTTCCAGTGACCACCATGTTTTAAAAGTTACCATCCTACACACACACACTCGTGCACACATGCACATGCATAGACATGCTTATGCCTATTCCCCTTGGGTTCTTTATTACCATCGAACTGCCATTTATTTTATTTATACATTTTGTATATTGCCTGTCTTGTCCAGAACCTCTATACATAATTGTTTAGTACAAGCCTTGCCAAGTGGAAGATTAAGCAGTTGGCCTCAAGCCAACATCCCCCTTGTCAACCAGGAGTGGGCTTTCATCAAACAGGAGAAAGTGTCCTCTTCTACCCATTGTACATTTGAACAGAGGCTCCATATATCCTAGCGGTGGCCTGATCTCCCTCTACTGGAAGGTAAACTCCATGACTAGAAACATACCTTCCTTCTTGATCGCTATCTATAATACCTAGAACAATACCTAGTATGTCATAGGTACTCGAAAATGTTTCTCAAATGAACAGATGAATGAAAACAAAAATGAGCTCTGCTGTCACACCTTTTCCAAATGCTGAGATGTTCCTCTCACTTTTCTAATCTATGTCCCTTCCCTTTTCTCTCTGCTTTTTTTTTTTTGCTTTTTTAACACATTTAGTGTTACTTTCTTTTTTTATTTGCATTTTTAAAATTATGATTATACTTTAAGTTCTGCAGTACATGTGCAGAACACGCAGGTTTGTTACATAGTTATACACACGTCATAGTGGTTTGCTGCATCCATCACCCCATCATCTACATTAGGTATTTCTCCTAATGCTATCCCTCCCCTATCCCCCCACCCCGTGCTATCTCTCCCCTAGCCTCCACCCCATGACAGGCCCTGGTGTGTGATGTTCCCCTCCCTGTGTCCATGTGTTCTCATTGTTCAACACCCACTTACGAGTGAGAACATGCAGTGTTTGGCTTTCTGTTCTATGAGTTCATGTCCTTTCCAGGGACATGGATGAAGCTGGAAACCATCACTCTCAGCAAACTGACACAAGGACAGTGTTACTTTCTTTATCCAACACTACTTCAAGTAAACAGTTTATCTTAACACTTCAAGATAACTCGTAGGGTTTAAATTAGTCTCTTTTTAGATAATTGCTCAACCAATTCAGAATTTAAACCCAATCATTTCAAAGTTCAAAATCATTTTCAGAGTGCCCTCCACTCTCAAGTGTGTTGCCTACTCTGCCCCTCCAGCTTTGCAGGTAGAAAAATTTTTCCTTGGCACTAGGGATGGAGTGATAACTCTGAGTGCCATCTGCTAGGCCCTTCCTGGCCTCTGGAGAGTCTCTTCCTGTCTAGCCTTTCTGTTTTGATCTCTCTCCCTGTTGCCTCCATAGCTGATGTAACGGGTTCCAAAAGACCTCCAGGATGGGGGGAGTCAGTGCCAGCCTCTAGTGCCCATATACTGCTATGGTCTTGGGTCTGGAAGTGAGGATAGCTTGGAGCTTCCTCATGGAAATGCCAGGATACTCCTGGGCCTGGCTCCTATAGCATTCCTACACCACACTCTGCATCAAACAGGGAATTCTGAATCCTCTGCTCCATACCACAGGTAAGTTGTGGAGAAACTGGGGTGCTTGTCAAGTACACTCTCTTGCTCTGTCTCCCTCTTCCCTAGCCTCTTTTTCCTCTCCTTGAAAATGGGATTCCGCTTCACTTGTATTTGTAAAATGTTTACTGTTAAGATGAATGATGGGGACACAAGTGTGTTATAGTTCTCTCTGGACTTTTAGATGCCTGAAATATTTCACATGCTCAAAATAAAAGAACATATTACCTTTTTTACTCTACTGCTCTTGCTTCATATTGATGAAGGTCACCCAAAACTCCAAATGGAAATGAAGAGACACAATACGAATGATCATTACATTCCCTCTTGCCCAGAGAACCTTCTAGATAAGACACATGCATGGTTTTCTAGCCTTGGTCAAAACTTGCAGTGTTCTCCTTGCTCTGCTGCCTCTGCCTCCTCCTCCTCCTCAGACCAGAAGAGAATAGGGTCATAAAGGCAGCCAGGGGTGGCCTTGGTTGGTAGCAAAGAGTATTCTGGGAGGACTGGTGGCCCAGGCTCCACATAAGCAAACTTGGGTATGGGCTGAGCTTGCTTTCCAGCCCACATAAGCAAACTTGGGTATGGGCTGAGTCTAGCCCCTGGTCCAAAGTGAGACAGATGACAGTTGTACTGGGCAGCTTGATCTGGAAACCTGACCCATGCCAGGGGAAATGTTTCATCATCCCCAAATCCCTCTTAGCAGAGCAGGAAATAGGGGCTCCTGAGAGGAACTGGTAGGGGAGGAAGCTGAGGCCAGAGGGGCCATAGCCCTGAACTGTACAAAACAGTTTGGGGAATGGGTTAGGGGTGGGAGATTTAAGAAATAGGACTGAGAATACTGCTACAGATTCCCATTTTGTTCTGTATTTAGGAGTGGATGGTGGAATTTGACTATATATGAAATATCACTAAGTGTCAGATCCTGACTCTGTTCCCCATTCTGAGATGTATCTTCTCAGGATCTGCTCTCCTCTGAGAAGGGAGCCCAAAGGAAAGGAGGAAGAAATGGGTCTTTTCCTTCTAGAAGTCAAATTTCAGGTGAATTGCTGCTTTATATTCTCTTTTCTACATATCTCTTATTGTGGTTCTAGAAGCATTTGACATCTTTTTTCTGAACTCTGTTACTTTGATTGTCCAAGAACTTGTTAACCAGTTCCATCCTTCTTTTTCAATGAATGAAAAGTGTAAAACCTCCCCTGTATATTCCTCTTCCTTCTTCCTAGTACTTGATATTCATTCAACAAGCTACTCAATCAGTTTTGACCACATAAGAGGGTCTACTCAGGGTAGGAGGTCACAGAGGCAGGGGATACCTCAGCGTGTCCATTGTCCATGAAGACGTGGAGCCCAGAGAGGTTATGAGGCTCAGTCTGATGCAGTATGTGCTGTCCATGACCCTCTCAGTTTCTCTGTTTTATATCGCCTTGTACCTTAGATCACTCTAGGCCATTTTGCTCTTTCCTGAAACACAGTCTTTAGAAACTCCTTTCACCATGGTCTGTTGGTGGAAAAATCTCTCAGTTTTTGCTTATCTTAAAATAGCTTTATAATAAAATGATTTATAATCCTTTACGTATACCTGTGTAACAATCCTGCATAATCTGCACATGATCAGAACTTAAAGTATAATTTTTAAAAAAATCTTTATTTCACTTCTATTCTTGTAAGATCATTTTGCTAGGTACACAATACTAGATTATTGTAACTCTCATTACATTAATGATGTTATTCCAGTGTCACTACCCTCCATCATTGCTGCTGGAGGTTCTACTGTCTGATTTCTCTTCCTCCATAAGTGATATAAGAGATTTGTCTTTTCTCCCTGCTCCCTTGGTCATGATTGCATTCCCAGTATCTGGCACAAAATAATAATAGCTACCACTTATACAGCATTTAATTATGTTCGAGGCAAAGTTCTAAGTGTTTTACCTCATTTAATCTTTATCTCTAATTATGGTATAATATACAGAAAATACAATTTAATGTGTTAACTATTTCTGAGTGTATAATTCACTGACATTAAGTACATACACAATGCTAAATAATCATCACCACTATTTCCAGAATTTTTCATCATCCCAAACAGAAACTCTGCATCCATTAATCTACCACACCCAATTATCATTTCCTCCCCAGCTCTTGGCAACCTCTATTCTACTTCCTGTCTTTATGAATTTGACAATTCAAATACTACCTGTGGTAGTCAGGGTTCTCCAGAGAAACAGAACCAATAGGATATATATAGATAAGTAGAATGAGATTTAGCATAAGAAGTCCCGGCCAGGTGTGGTGGCTTATGCCTGTAATCTCAGCACTTTGAGATGCTGAGGCAGGCTGATCACAAGGTCAGGAGATCGAGACCATCCTGGTCAACATGATGAAACCCCATCTCTAATAAAATACAAAAAATTAGCCAGGTGTGGTGGTGCCCACCTGTAATCCCAGCTACTCAGGAGGCTGAAGCAGGATAATCGCTTGAACCTGGGAGGCAGATGTTGCAGTAAGCCGAGATCACGCCACTGTACTCCAGACTGCTGACAGAGTGAGACTCCATCTCAAAAAAAAAGAAAAAAGAAAAAGAAGTCCCTTGATCTGCTGCCTGCAAGCTGGAGGCCCAGCAAAGCCAGTGGTCTAGTTCCAGTTCAAACCCAGAGGTTTGAAAACCAAGGGAGCCACTGGTGTAACTTCCAGTTCAAGTCCAAAGGCTTGAGAAACAGGGAGCCAGTGTCCAAGGCAGGAGATGACATCTTAGTTCAAACAGAGTGAAAATTCATCTTGTTTCCACCTGTTTGTTCTATGTAGCTCATCCAATAAACAACTTAGATGATACCCACTCCCATTGATGAGGACAGATGTTTTTAACTCAGTCTGCTGAGCAAACAACAGCTAATGCTAATCTCTTTTAAAAATTCTCACAGACACATCCAGACACAATGTTTAACCAGAGCTATCTGGGTATCCCTAAGCCCGTTCAAGCTGACACAAAATTAACCATCACACTCCATATTAGAAGTACACAATATTTGCTCTTTTGTGTCTAGTTTATTTCACTTAGCATAATATTTCCATGGTTCATCCACATTGTATCAAACTTCATTCCTTTTTATGATTTAATCATATTCCATTATATATATATGTACCATATTATATTTATCCATTCACCTATTGGTAGCACTGGGTTTCTTTTTGTTTGTTTGTTTTAGCCATTGTGAATAATGCTGCTATGAACATTGGTATACAAGTATTTGTTTCTATATTTTCAATTCTTTAGGAATGAAATTACTGAGTCATGTGATAATTCTGTTTCATTTTCTGAGGAACCACCAAACTGTATCTAAAATGGCTATGCCACTTTACATTCACACAAGCAATGCATGAGAGTTTCAATCTGCACATTTTTGACAAAACATATCAATTTGCATTTTTTTAAATAACAACCATTATGATGGGTATAAAGTGATACCTCACTGTGGTTTTGATTTACATTTCTCTAATAATTGAACATCTTTTCATGTGCTTAGAGGTCATTTGTACATTTTCCTTGGAGAAATTTCTATTCAAGTCCTTTGCCCATTTTTTAATTGGGTTGCTTTTTTGTTGCTGATAACTTTTAATTCTTCATATATTCTGGATATTAACCATATATATCATAGATACTAATAATATTTAATAACATATAATGGTATATATGATGTGCATGTGTGTGTGTGTGTGTATATATATATGATTTGCAACTATTTTCTCCCATTTCTGTGGGTTGTCTAATCACCCTCTTGATAGTGGCTTTGATGCACAAAAAATGCAATTTTGACAAGGTTCAATTTATCTAATTTTTCTTTTGTTACCTATGCTTTTGTGTCATATTTAAAAAACCATTACCACATCTAAGGTTCTGGAGATTTTGCTTTATGTTTTCTTCTGAGTTTTATAGCTTTAGCTTTTACATGTCAGTCTTTGATCCATTTTGAGTTAATTTTTAAATATGGTGTAATGTGTGTGCTCAATTTCATTCTTCTACATGTAAATATCTAGTTTTGCTACAACAATTAGTTGAAAAAAATGCCTTGCTCTATTGAATTATCTTGGCACTTTTGTTGAAAATCAGTTGATCATACATGTAAGAGTTTATTTCTTGGTGCTCTATTCAATTCCATCAGTCTATATGTATATCTGTATGCCAGTACCACACTGTTTTTTGTAGTGTCATCTTGTAGCAAGTTTTAACATCAGGAGTATGAACCCTTCAAATTGGTTCTTTTTCAAGATTGTTTTGACTATTTGGGAATCTTCTGAGTTTCCACATGGATTTTAGAATCCTTTTTCTATTTCTAAATAACATAAATTTTAAAACTCCACTGGAATTTTGATAGGGATTGCATGGAATTCATAGATCACTTTGGGTAGTATTATCATATTAATGTTAAGTCTTCTAATCCATGAACATGGAATGTCTTTCCATTTATTTTGGTCATCTTTATTGTCTTTCAGATGTTTTACAGTTTTCAATACACAAATCTTTTGCTTCTTTAGTTAAATTCATTCCTAAGTATTTTATTATTTTTGATGCTACTTTAAATAAAATTGCTTTCTTAATTTCCTTTTCAGATTATTTATCATTAGTGCATAGACATACAATGGATTTTTGTATGTCAACTTTTCTGCAACTCTGCTGGATTTGTTTATTAGCTCTAACTCACTTAATCTTGAAACAAATCTGTGAAGTAGCACTGTTGATGTCCAGGCACTTGCGTTAGCAACCAGACTCATGAACTAGCAATATATGAGGAAAGGGCAGGAAATTCTCTTTCTCATTCTCTTCCTACCGGCTGTGCAGTAGCAGAAACTGCAAATTCAAGTCGCTGTCACAGAAGTGGCAGCAGTACAAGCTGTGGTATCTCATTCTCAGTGGTGGTATCAGGCATCAGATCAATTGTGCAGTGTCCTTTTGGACACTGTTCCTGGAAGTCCATCCTTGGCTCTTCTTGCCTACTCCTCTTGATGATCTTGTAAAGCACCCAATGCTATTTTTATTTAATTCCTTTTTTGGTCAATCAACCAGAATCAGTTTCTGTGTTAGTCCATTCTTGCATTGCTATAAAGAAGTACCTGAGACTGGGTAATTTAGAAGAAACGAGGTTCAGTTGGCTCATGGAGGTCTGCAGGCTCTACAGAATGCATGGCCCCAGCATCTGCTCAGCTTCTGGTGAGGGCTTCTGAGCTTACAGTCATGATGGAAGGGAAAGAGGGAGAAAGCATCTCACATGGCAGAAGCAGGAACAAGAGGGAGAAAGAGTGGGGGTGGGGAGGTGCCACATTTTACAACAACCAGATCTTGCAAGAACGCACTATTGCAAGAATAGCACCAAGCCATGAGGGATTCCCCACAATAACCCAAAAACCTCCCATCAGTGCCCCCCCACCACCTCCAACATTGGGGATTATATCTCAACATGAAATCTGAAGGAAACATCAGAACTATACTAGCTTCTGTTGCTTGCAAATAAGATGCTTATATGACAAATATCAAGATTGACACATGCTTCCATTCCCTTATCCTGCTTTTTCTCTATAGCACTTAACACTATCTGGACCATCTGTTTATTGTCTGATTCCCACACTGGAATGAAAACTCCATGAGGTCAGGGTTTTTTGTTCACTGCTATATGCCTAAAATAATGCCTAGTATATATTGCACTTAATACAATCTATTGAATGAATGAAACACCTAGTACTTATTAATTTAACTGAGACAACAGCACACGTCTGCTAGAAATAAAAACCTATGATGCTTATTAATAACTCTGTGCCTATGATTCCACCTCTTAAAAAGCAACTCTTTCTAGCTTTATGCTCTGACTCTAGGCAGAGCAAATTCCTGGAGATCAGAGGAATCCCTAGAGGAACCCTCCTCAGGTATGCCAATATGCTCCTTGCATCATTTCCATAGGACACTGAATTGTGACCCATCATCTAGGCCAAATTATTAGTAGTTTTGCCAAAGTGAATAAACACTTTTTCTTTCAGATGTTCATACTGGATATGAGAAAAAAACATTTCTAAAATCTTCCCATGCTCATACTTAAATGCCCAAAGAAGCACTTAGTTGAATACAAAAGGTTTCTCCAGACCATCTCAGTTACGGCAGGAGTTAATCCTGCTAAAATCAGAGAAGAGACTGAGAATGAGTTCAGTGCGATGTCATGCTGAGATGAAGACACTCCGTTTCTCAAATTACTCTCTTATAAAACATCTTAAAATGCCTTTCTGTACAAATCTAACTCACACCTGCTGAGAAAATGATGCTCTTTTCTAGGCCACAAGTTGTCTGACCTGCCCTATATTTACCTGACTTCTTACAGTCCTCAGTTCACCCATGAACTGGATACTTTCTGGCTTGCTCTTTAAAATGTCCACTTTAACACTTGCTGTGGAAAAGATGCAGTCCAAGGTTACAAACTTGTTTATGACCAATTCTCCTGTGTCTCCTCCATGCAAACTTTGCATACTACATAATTTTAAAATACATGTTTAACATGTGATTACTGATTTAGTTATGAGTTTGAAACATGGAACCATTGAAAGCATACTTTTCAGAAAGCAAATTTTTTTCCACAAATACTGATTGTTTCCCAACAATTCAATCAAGAAGGGCTCCTACAGAGCAGCAGGAAAGCAAGCAGTGGAGGGGTGGCTTTAGCGGGCAGCTCATTAGGAGGTACAGATGAGGTCCCCTTTCCACTCCTATTCCCCAAGGAGAGGCCTAATATCTGAAGCCGACTCCAAATTGTGGTAGAGAAATTCCATTCAGAGTGGGGCTACACGCTGTGAACAAAGGGAAGACAGGTGGGAGCTATGGTACTAAGATGAAGCTTCCAGAGAAAACTCAAGGTCATTCCAGGAACAGAAACTAACAGAGCAGTAGAAAAGCAGGAACAGAGGCTCACCAGAATACCTCCAGTACCTGCAAAGTTCTCACTCATTCATTCATTTATTCGATAAATATCAAATGAACATCTATAATGTACCAGCATCCTTCTGGGAGCTAAGGACACAATAAAAAGTAAGACAGACTAGGCCATGCCCTCTTGGAGCTTACATTCTAGCATGCAGCAGGTATGAATAAATACTTGTTGATCAACTGAAGAAAATGACTGACCCACTTTATTCTAATATGATATCTTCCTCTGCCATATTACAAAGTAAAAAGAATGATGATCTCAAATAAATTTTCAAGTTGGCCACAATAGTTGAAATTGAGTAAGAAGTCTAGTGGAATTATGGCTTTAGACCCATTATTCTTACAATAACCCTTGTGTATAACGTTTCTTGACATATTAACTTAAAATAGTATGAAAGCATCTGATTGGCCATGAAACGATAATCATTTACAATTGATCTTATTTATGTTTAAATTCAATGGGCCATCCCACTGAATAAATGAGATATAAAGTACTATTTTATAGCATATACATTATAACATAATAGTTATAAAGTAGTATTCCAGTTATAACATAGTCATAACAATATATATACTATACATACTATTCATAACTA